GATATTTTTCGTGTTTGGTGTAATCAATACTGTCACCCCATTTCGGCTTGTTGTGTTCTGGGATAACCCTGTATGGGTACGTTATGTACGTATAATAAAGTTACTGTGAATTTAATTTACGAGCCCCCTGATCATATTAGGAACCCTTTCGTTCTTCAATTAGAAATCACATGTCTCATTGTACTGAAAAAAATATAAGCTCTACATTTTACTTTAACGCCCACAATTTTTATACTATAGAAATCTTATTACTTTTTATATATAGAATTCCAATATTTTTTATGGTAAATTTTCTTCATTCTAGAAAACTTGAAACATGATTCAAAGTTATTTACTTTGATTTAGGGATAAGATTCTAAGGTTTGAATGAACAAAAACAATAAAAATTAACTAACTATTTGGAGTGCTATGAAATTATTCAATGGGCCTCCGAAAGAGGTAAAGATGATCAAAGAAGAAAATGACTTACCAATTTTTATAGTTTGATCATTGCTCTGTTTTACTTAAATGTCAATAATTTTCAAACTGCAAGCGAGCATGAGTTACAATCAATACTGCCACCCCATTTCGGCTTGGTGTTGAGTTCTGGGAGACCCTATATATATCTAATAAAGTTACTGGGAAATTATTTACAACCCCCCTAATAATACTAGTAACCCTTTCGTTCTCCAATTGGGAATTACAAAGTTTTCCTCTCCCTAAATTTCAGTAATAGCAGTCTAATTGTATTCGAGAAATATGTTTATAAAAATTCATTTCCGTATGGTAAGACCAGTAGCCTCCATTTCTATATTTTCTGCACTTTATCGCTCATTTCTCCAACCGTGCATTACTATTCTACGTCTCGTTAGTATCCATATTTATCAATTTCTTTTCTTCCATTCTCGTCCTCACATGTGAGTAGTTGGCCTTTCCCCTCCTCTCCCCATATTGGTTTTGTAGCCGATTGTGAGTTTGCGAGTTCGTTCACATCGACACATTCACGTCGTTTCGTTCGCCATATTCAATAGTCACTAGTCGGTCCAAGCGGAGATGTTTGTGAGTCATGCTCTATGACAAGCGATACCGTAACAAGATGTGGAGCCGGTTGCCGGTTGTCGGCATTCCGTTATTTGATATTTAGCATCGTTTCGGCAGGGATGATGCAGTTTTAGATGGAATCGATTATTTTGTCTGGCTGGGTACATAGACGACTATTGGGAAGAAATTACATGTTTCACATGTTTCATGTCTAAAGATTTCAATTTATATTTGTCGTTCGTAATAGATGCAGTAGAATCTCGCTAAGGGGGCGCCCTTAATCACGTGAGCGAGTTTTTAAAGATTTTTGGACCCACCCCCTCCCCCTTGGTTATACATGTTATATTCAAAATAACCCCCGATCCCCTACCAAACATCACGTCTACTTTTAAGTACGTGAAAAAACTGTAAAATTTGGATTTTTTTTTTAAATGTCTGAACTTTAAAAAAAAAAATAGTTTAATAAAAAAAGAAATGGACGTGATATCTTACTATACCTCTCCCTCCCCAACGTGATATTTCGTGATTTTTTGTCAAACTTCCCTTCCCCCTAAAAACCTCACGTGATTATTTCGGCACTTCGATAAATAGACACCTTCAATAATCCGACACCCCCAGCTACTGGACAATTTTTTGGAAACCAGCTGGAAGATTTTCTGCTATTTCTTTATTTTAAGACTAATTTCTTATAATCTGAACATTCCAATAATCCGACAGCTTCTGCTTTATATAGTGTCGAATTGGTAAGAATATACGGTAAACTGTGTATACAGTAAAACCCGGGTTTTTTTAGGAATCGGACCAAAAATTTTTCTTATACGGAAATCGTCTTATGCAGGATGGGAACAATGTGTTTGATAATTTCTCGCATATTACGCCACTATTCTATGCTTCTTCAGTCAGAATCGTCTTAACGGGGTTCTAAGTTTCATTAATTTTAAAAATTGTATTAGATTTGATTTGTTTAGTGATTTACAGCCTATCTACATTATTTTAATATCACATATAATTTCAATGCATTATTATAGATTATTAGGTAACTGAATGATTTTATTAATCACGTGATCGATTTTTAAGGATTTTTGGACCCACCTTTCTTTACCAATACATGGTTATATTTAAAAATTAACATTTATTTTTTTTTTGAAAAAAACCTTAAATTTTTAGATTGTTTTTTGATAAAAATTGGATTTTTTTCAATCAATTAGTAAAAAATAAATCACTTGATATTTTACTATTTATATATTCAATTGATTATTGAATGGGATCGAAATCATTATCTAATTTGTAATTTTTTATCCCAAAACTGTTGATATTTTTCTGTGCCTAAATATAGAAAAAATAATATATATCCAAGTAGAATACATTTATTTATTGCAAGTAATACATAATAGAAATAACAATTTACAAAATTTTGCATTTGCAGTCTCTAATATAGTATAGATGTTTAATATATGGATTCAAGATTAAAGTTTAAAAAAATGGAGCAAAAAATTTCAAGAAAAATTACGTTACCCAAACAAATATTTAAAAGAATTAAGCGAGGAATCTCCTACTCAAAGAGTGAAAAAAAATGGCCATGCAATCTTAAATAAAAGGTCAAAAAAAAAAAAAAGATCTCTATCTTAAATGTATTTACACCCAGCCCACCCCAAAAAATTTATATTATTTTGATCGGCGATAAACCTAGGCAAATAAAGATTCAACTTAATCAGGAAATTTATTTCTTTTTTATGCGTTCGTTAATTTTTACACCTTCTTGTCAATATACTAATTGAAAAACATCTGCAACATAAAATTCGTTACTAACTTGAATTACATTCAAGTTCAACATTTTTCATCTTAACGATAGAGATAGAACTAAAACTCATATATTTGAAGCCCATTTCATGTAACATGTAAAACTAGAAATTTCTTAGTCATTCATCATGTTCTTTGCAAATTTCACAACAGGCATAAACCCAGATTAACATCATCATTGCAAATTTCTAACTCTGAATTGATCATGCTATATTACGTAATTGCTTCGTCTATCAACGGCCCTGATGATTATCCGATCAGTATAAAGTTTATTCAGCTTTATCCGTGTTTGCGTGATTTTGTACGTTCGTGTATTTTATGTATGTGCATTGGACCGCAAAACCAGTCTGCATTTTACCGGTATTGACAGACTCGACACGCGAAATTACGACACTAAACATTTGGATTTGGATGTGGCTGGTGAAGGTCAGAAGAATTGTAATAGATTCTCAAATTAGAATCATTAGATTTAGATCTATTGGAAGGACTATTAGATAGCGTTTTTTGGAATAGACTTACACTATCGGTTTTCCACTTATGTGGTTGTAATAGATACTGGCTAAATTGTAGTACACTGCCCAGCAAAAGTTTGGACTCACTTAGGAAAATCGTAATTTTTATTCATCATTCTCAGACAGTTTAATATAACAGATTCGTTGAGAATTACATTCAATTTAAAAGCATTTACATCTGATATTTTTGAATTTTTGTGAAAATCAATCCAGCCAGTTTTTCATCAATCTGTTGGCCTTTCGATTTGAAGTCATTGGCGCGCATTTTTAAATGATGATGCATCGAGTAAAAGTTAATTTGAGTTCAAAAAAAATAGTTAATGTAATTCAAAGTGATAATTTGTAACATTGTACTTATTACAATATTTCGAAAATTAACATATTTCTGTACAATAAATAAATGAGAATTTTTAAAGAAAACGCTCAAAAATCATTCTCAAAATGTTTTTCTATATCCAATACGTACATTAAAAGGTCTGAGGAGAACGATAAATAAAGTGACGAAAAAAGTTTTTTTAAGTGTGTCCAAAGTGTGTTATTTTTGACTAATTATGCTATTGAATTCATTAAAGTGGATATTTAATGCTATTGGATTTCAATTGAAGATCTAACTATGCATCCAACGTTCTAACGTTTTTTTTTTAATAGTACATATTTCTAGTTGTAAAATGTCATGAAAAATATAAATTAAGAACAAACTGATCTGCTTAATTCCTTATACATTATCATGGGGAGATTCTGAATATTTTGAACTTTCTGATCAGTTCATTAAAGGCATTAAGTCCAGTCATTATAGTAAGTTCACCTCGGAATTCGAGATACCCAGCTGTAAGTCTGTAAATACTTGTATATTGACACCCTAAAGTTGTCTCAAAACCTACATATGGTACTGACACTCAACCATATGTAGGTTTTGAGACAACTTTAGGGTGTCAATATACAAGTATTTACAGTCTTACACCTAAGTATCTCGAATTCCGAGATTCTTACCTAATTGAAACTTAAACGACTGGACTACATATGAAAAGATTACATAGATTTTTATCTATCTCTGAAACCCTGCATGGTTTTCTTTTTTTTTTACAGAAGCAATATATTTTTATTTCAACCAACATTTTGCAGGATATCTATTTCTTATCCTAATTACCATGACGATGTCACAACTAATTTATTAATATTCTAAGATTCGATTTCGAATACCAAAGTGTGTATAATAAATAATTCGATCCTTGCATATAATGTGTCATTAGAATTAACTTATTACAAACTTGTGTGATTAGGTTTTATTACGTCATTTATTTTGGCAGCATTTACATATGTTAAGAATAGAATGAATCTATAATTACTGGCCCAAACTAACAACTTTAATAGATCAGTTAAGCATTCTAAATATTAATGTTGAGGATTTCTATAAATATAAGAAGTAAGAATAACTTACATTAAATCATCTTAATTGGCAATATTAGATCATAAAATGCTTTATCATTATTCCTTTTTATCTGATCAGAAAAAAAACTCCTCTAATTTGACTAATGGGCATGAAAATTCAAATTTGAATTTGAATTTCATCTAAATATGCCATACATGAATGCATCCAACTCTGTCAAAATTGTGTTTATATATTGATTTAATTATTTAATTTGACTAATTTTAATTTTTCTTTTCCAGGCATCCGGTGTAACTGTTTCGGATATTTGTAAGACGACATATGAAGAGATCAAGAAAGACAAGAAGCACCGCTATGTAATTTTTTTCATTAAGGATGAAAAACAAATAGATGTAGAAGTCATTGGTGAAAGAAATGCCGAATATGAATCTTTCCTCACCGACCTGCAGAAAGGTGGAACTGGCGAATGCCGGTAAGATAATTGATCATTAATTAAATTTTACAATATTTTAACAAATCTATCATCAGTAGAGTTGCACTATATACTTGCCTATTACATTACTTTTAACCTAATGTGTAATATTAAGTGATAGTAAATATTATTTAATTTTGCAGCTCTTTAAGTACTTAAATATAAACTAAAATTGCAGTTTATTAGGTATAATCGCTAACAATGGCCATTTGAAATATTCATTTCTATTAATATTAGAATATAATTACATCTCATATGTTTAATACCTTAAATATTTAGTTATTGATGATATAGTAGTGGTTCTGGAATATTTCTTTCCCACTTTCGATAAAATAAAAATAGCAATATATGCTTCATTGCGACTTGGTTGTAAAATCTTGTATATCTAATAAACATTCACCATTTCTATTCCAGATATGGTCTCTTTGATTTTGAATATATGCATCAATGTCAAGGCACATCAGAAAGTTCCAAGAAACAAAAGCTTTTCTTGATGTCATGGTGCCCAGATACCGCTAAGGTGAGATACATAGAATAACTTTATTATTTGTTAAATTATATTAATTAAATATGTCATTAATAAATATTCTCTTATTTAGGTTAAGAAGAAGATGTTGTACAGCAGCTCCTTCGATGCATTGAAGAAATCTCTTGTTGGAGTACAAAAATACATCCAAGCAACTGATCTCTCAGAAGCAAGTCAAGAGGCCGTGGAAGAAAAACTACGTGCTACGGATCGCCAATAAAAACAACCAGCAAACAGACATTCATGTGTGCGTGCTAAATCTACCCATATATATTGACCCAAAGACATATTGTCCAAATATGTTTTAGTCAAATTGCATCATATTTTGTATAGCACAACTAATTGTTCTCATAGTCTCGTTCATTTATTTTATAAGATGAAACCATTTTCATAAGCCTGTTGCGTAGTAAGCCCGTACATGAACTTTTTATATTGGTATTAAGTATTAAAGTAACAGTTTCTCAAATGAATTTTGTATTTATGTATAAAAAAACTATATTTAAATATTACAAGAAATAAACAAATCATCTTGTAAAACAATATTGCTTGTATTATTGTATATGCTTTAAAAAGGCTATGGGGAAAATGTGCCACAGAGTTCTCTATATGCAGGTCTCTGTTTTTGATAACTAAAGTTAGTGAATGAAAACCAAATAAAATCTTGACTAATTTATTTAAATAATTTTGATCTAAGCTTTGGAAGAATTGTTTTTCTCGTTTACTGCAATTTATGACTGTAAAATTTTCAATAAAATTACAATTTTTGAGATATTTTGTTGTCATTTCAGTAAACATACAATATTAAGCCATTTATAGAAAAATATAAGAGAATTAATATTTCATTGGTTCATCCCATTTTATTACATTAGAAAATGTAGTGAGATCCATATTGTTTAACTTTTTCAATGCTTTTTCTTTTATGCATGTATGATCATTTTATTTTGCTTAAAATATAGAATTTGAACATTCAGTAATACTTTATGTTAATCTATTCAAGTTTTAGTGCCTAAAACTTTTTTTTTATACATATTTATATAAACATTGTGAACCAAAATCAAAAGTTGGCAGGCGAGTTGTGGATATGTATACATGAGAAAAAATAGAATCAAAATTTGTCAGTAGAAAATAATCTTCTGGAATACATTAACAGTTCTATCTTATAAGAACTAATGTGTTGTTATCAAAGTTGCAATCTATACGAGAGTTGGAACAGGTAATGTTAATATTCTTTTATTATGATTTCAATAACTATTTTCTTGCATAACCTTTAAACTTTATCTATGTAGTCTGACCATTTGATCGCCTGTACAACCAAGTTTTTTTTTTTATTGCTATTTTATTCATTCAAATTTTTATGGTTTTAAATTAGTATAACTTTCAACCTTGTGCAAGAATTTTGAGCTTGACTGGTGGTCTAATAGATTTTGATATGATGAACTTGATAATGAACATTGTAATTAATGTTCGAATGCTTTTTTTCAGAAGCGAAATTTGTGCAGCTACTATGATTATCATAAATTACTATCCTTTTAATATTAATTACGAATAAGCTTGACAAGAGCCTGAAATAATATCTATTATTATTGATTACGGCTTGCTTATTAATAAATAAATTAATAAAGTAGAACTAATTCTTTAATCGAGTTTTTTGTGTTACTCCAACTTCCAAGTATTACAAAAAGCTTTCGAAAAAATAACTTTGAATCTATCGTTGCTACTTTTAGGCCTGTTGAAACACAAGATACTTTGAGAATTCATATTTTTGTTTGATATATTTGCAGTTCCCACATTTAACTCTAGAACGTTTTTGGGCAATATGCATGTAAAGATTACAAAATTCTTACACAGATTTTGTATTTATAGATATTTTTAGTAAATTGTTGACCATAGTTTATTTACTTGTATTTTAATAAATTAAATAATAAATTTACTAAATAAATCTCAAAAAAAATTTAACCCAAGTACATAATTGTTAATCATAGTATGTACAAATAGACTATTATTATTGATGTTAATTGCACTCAAAGAATGAAAACATGCAAAAATTATTAATAATCTGAATATCTATACTTTAATATCTAAAATAACTTTTAAAAGTTTATATAATATGGTAAAATAACGTTTTATGCATTTTGTCAGTGAACATGTCAAATAATTGTACAACGCATGACAAGATGGCGTAACAAGTAATTTAATAAATAATATAAATAATATTACAAATAAATTAATTGTAATTAATTACTTGTAAATATATGAATTATAATTGTTTTAAAAATATATAAACTTAATTGTTAATAAATTAAATAGATAAAAACACTGTAAAGTAAAATTAATTAACCCAAACACAAACGTTTTGTTTAGTTTTTAGATGTCATGACTGTAGTATAGAAGTTAGATGTCACTACCGTAATATATAAAACATATCAAATTTTTTGATAAAGGGACATATTTAGTTTACATATACTTTAAATTGAAGGCATTTAATATATATTAAAAATAAATCAAGAAAGGATAGCATAAATATTCATAATAAAATTAGCAAATGAATATCCAAAGACTGACATGTCATTACTTCTGTCACTGTGCGATGTCGCCATTATTAAGTTGGTAGTACAAAATGAATGTCATTAAAATGCATTAATAAACAAAACAGGCATTAAATTATCAATTATCTTTAAAATCCATTAACATGCTTTAAATATTATATTCTAACAAATCCATCTAATAAAAAATATTTTAAAAACATTCTCTTAGCAACGTCGAGCCTGGCAACACTTTTGGCAAACAATCAATAACGTAGTATCAAAATTCGTGCTACTCGCGCTGTATTCGTTCAGACGGCTTTCGATAACGTTCGAGTGATAATCGTTCTTACAGTGTGTTCTGTTTTAATTGATTATTGTGATAAAAATATATTACAAAATGGCTTTTAATATTAACAACGGTAGTGTCGCTTATAACAAACGCCAGCGGACAGAAAATGACGAGGAATATAATAAGGTTAGTGACATTTATTGATAGTTTGTAAAGTTTCGTTTTCAATTCAATGCACTCGCATGCTGAACATGGCCGATGAGTTTTAATTAATAATGGGATAAATAGATAATATTATGCAATTCGCGGGAAATAATACTTAAGAATACTTTGTTCTATAGTTTATTTATTATAGTGCAGAGTTTATGTTATGTTATTCTAAATGTGTCATTTAAGTGACTTGTGTCATGATGTTAAATTTTTTCTGTTTAAATTAAAATACACCTCATGTTTTTTGACATTAGATATGTTTGTCATTGACAATATCATTTGTCAAAACGCCGGCACACTTGTTATTGGGATCCAAAATGTCGTCAAGGAAACCATTCATTACGTGCTCAATTGTTATGTTTTGTTTATATTATGAATGGTATGCTTAAAAGTTTAAAACTAATTAATAAAATACGTACGATTCTTCTGTAGTTATTGCAAAATAGGTACTTGACCAAATCTTTGTAATTTTCACATTATTTCCGTAATTCTACCAAAGACATCGTTGAATAAAATACTTAAATTTTGTGTTAAAAAGTTCTTTAATACCAACGCAAAATTACACTAATTGCTTATTACATTTCAAACGTATTATTTATCATCGTTCTTTACATTATTAAGATTTTGTATTCATACAACAAAAATATTGGAGGTTATGTTTATCTCTGAAATTCATCTTACAATCCGTTTCTTTAGATAATTTTTATGAATTTAGTATTTATTAAGATATTAATAGTAGTTATTTTCCAAATACACGTTTTTTTCATTTTTATGGAATTTATAGTTATGTGCAATATAACGGTAATCTTCAGCATAACATATATTTATATGGTGGAACCATATAAAATGTTGATATTCTTGTATATTAGTGTTTGATCTCTCTTAAATTAAATTCATTCTTCAGTTATTTTTATTCATTTTTTTCCAATATTATGAAATTTAGTTATGTCTAATATAACAGTAATCTTCAGCCTAATATATATTTATATGTTTCCACCATATAAAACTTAATTCATCTTAACCTAACTTAATTCATTCCTCAGTTATTTTTGCTCATTTTTTTTCAATATTAGGAAATTTATAATTATGTGCAATACAACTGTATTCTTCAGCACAATAAATTGTTCACCAGCATTAAATTGTTGATATCCTGGTGCATTACTATTTGATCAATATTTGTACAATGCAATTTTATTCCTTTCTAACTCTCTTAAACTAAACTAAATTTATTCGTCAATTATTTGTATTCATTTTTTTTCAATATTATGAAATTTATAGTCATGTGCAATGTAACTGTAATCATCAGCACAACATATATTTATATGTTTCCTCCATATAAAATGTTGATATTCTGGTATATTACTCGGTTTGATCAGTACATGTACAATGCAATTTTGTTCCTTTCCAACTCTCTTAAACTAAACTAAATTTTTGTTTTAGTTATTTTCATACATTTTTTCAATATTTTGGATTTTATAGTTGTGTGCAATGTAACGGTAATCTTCAGCATATTTATGGATCCGCCAGATAAATTGTTGATATTCTTGTATATTTATTATTTGGTATATTATTTAGTCCTTTCATATTTTATGAATCTAAATTAAATATTTTCTTTAGTTATTTTCATAGATAATATTTTCATACATTTTTTTTCAATATTATGAAATTTATAATTATGTGCAATACATCTTTCATCTTCAGCATAATATAAATTTATAATAATATGCTGAACACCAGCTTTAATTTTGTTGAAATCCTGGTGCATTACTATTTGATCAGTATTTGTACAATGCAATTTTATTCCTCCTCAACTGTACTAAACTGAACTAATTTTTTGTTTTAGTTATTTTCATACATTTTTATTAAAAATTTTGGATTTTCTAGTTATGAGCACTATAACGGTAATAATCAGCATATTATATATTTATATGTTTCCACCATATAAAATATTGATATTCTGGAATATTACTCGATTTAATCAGTACTTGTAATAATATCCTTTCTTACTTCATTGAAGCAAAATAAACTTCAAGTTTACATAAATTTTTATAATTTTTTTTCAATCTTTTGGAATTGTTTGTTATGTGCAATATAACTGTAATCATCAGCATATAGATATTTATAAAAAGCATATGTGTTCACCAGCATTAAATTGTTGATATCCTGTTATATTGCTATAAAATCAGTATTAGTACAATGCTATTCTATTTCTTTTTAAGTATATTAAACTAAGCAAAATTTTTGTTTTAATTATTTTCATATTTTTTCAATATTTTGGATTTTATAGTTATGTGCAATATAACGGCAGTCATCAGTATAATAGATATTTATATGTTTCCACCATATAAAATGGTGATATTCTGGTGTATTACTGTTTGATCAGTACTTGTACAATGCAATTTTATTCCTTTCCAACTCTCTTACACTGAACTAAATTCTTGCTTTAGTTATTTTCATACATTTTTATTCAATATTTTGGAATTTTTAGTTATGTGCAATATAACCATAATCTTCAGCATAACAAAAATTTTTAATGATCATATGTGTCCGTCAGTGTTAATTTGCTGACATCCTGGTATATTGCTCTAAAATCTGTATTAGTACAATGCAATTTTATTTTATATCTTTTTAATTCTATTAAACTAAACTAAATGTTTGTTTTAATTATTTTCATACATTTTTTTTCAATATTTTGGTATTTATATTTATGAGCAATGTAACTGTAATCTTCAGCATAATATATATTTGTGTTCACCAGTGATAAATTTTTAATATCTTGGTAAATTACTATTCAGTATTTCTACAATGGTATTTTATTCACTCTTAGTTGAATAAAACTATTCAAAACAATATTACTTCCATTAATTTATTCGGTCTCCATACAAATTCAGTCACATCTGCAATTACAGTTATTTTATACACATATATGGCACGTTAGTACCATATCAGTAGTTTACAACCTTTTCGTACAGTTATTAGACTGGATGGATTTTTAAAGTTTTTGAAAAAATAATGCTGCTCTCTCCTTAGTTATTTTTAACAATATATAGATTGTTAATTATAAATTTATAAATACTCAACTGATATAATTCATTCATCAGGCTACAAATTATTATAAAATATCAAGTCAAAAAAATAATTATTTATTCATTAATTTCATATCATTTTACCGGTGTTGATTTATTTTTTTTGAAAATACAATTTTGAAAGCAGCTGTACGCCTCTTGTGAGTTCGCGCCCCACAATTTGGAAACCACTGCGTTAAGGTGCGTCCACACCTAACGAACGAACACGAACGAACATGTCGAACAAGAAAAATACAAAGAAGAACGAACAGGAACACAAACGAACGCAAAAAATTCCAAACGAACTTGAACAAGCGCTTAAAAGCAGTGAGCGCTTGAATTTTCGTTGTTCGCAGATGTTCCGTGAAACGTCAGTTTTATTATTGATATGGATGTAAGCTTTAATCATACGGCATTTTCACTGGTTTTTGTGTGATTTTTGTTCGTGTATATTTTGTAAATATACTGTAAATAAATTATTCAATTAATTTCACTCAGTTTTTGTATTTAATATTTATATTTTGAGTCGTTTTCTTTTCTCAGCATTCATATTTGGAGCAAGCTGAACATTCCAGGCTTGAGCTAACTATACTCAATTTTCATACTCTCATCCTCAACATATATGTTGAATGTCTATGTATGATAACAAGTTTGATATTTACTTGTAAAGACTGCAATCATACTCTTCTTTTATCTATGACTGCAATTTCTTCTTTACTGCAGCTTCTGACATCCCAAACGTTTTGCCTACACTTTCCCAAGCATCGTTTTTTTTTTCTAATAATTTTATAAAAAGGGTCTTTAGTCTCCCATATTATAGGAAACTTTTCTATTTCATTTATGAATGATGAAATTACGTCATTTGACCATTCCATAATTTATTCAAAATTTTCAAACTGTACACAATAATTAAAAGTAAATATTATTAAAATTTTCAAACATTAAAATTAATAACATTATTATTAAATTTAAAAAAATTATTATTAAATTATTAAAATTATTAAAACAAAAATGTTCGTTTGCGTTCGTTGAGACGTCCACACTGCACATACGAGTTCAAACATGAACGAACAATTCCCTTTGATGTACCGACAAGTTGCGGAACATTGCTCGCCATGTTTGTTTATGTTCGTTCGTGATCGTCGTGGCGTCCACACTATGCTGTTGCCGTTCGTTCTGGTACGTTTTTTTATGTTCGTTCGTGTTCGTTCGTTAGGTGTGGACGCACCTTTAAGGATTCGCCTCAACGTTAATTTTAAAGTAGTTTTGTACTCTTATGTAAAATTAAAATGTGGGATATCCCACCACCTAGTTTGGATATTTTTCTTATTGAGAAATAGTTGGATTCAATCAGAAATAATTTTGTATGTTTGAAAATTGTTATATAATTAGAATTTCCACTTTCTAAACATAATTTTCTTTTATCGAAAAAAAAAACACATATATATCTTACTATCTAAGTATCTTTCTATGTCTTACCATTTTCTTCCCTTTTCCGTATTTCCTTAAGATTAAATTTAATTACATTAATATTTTTTACGTAAACCATCAATGTCAGCAGGGTAAAAAAAATAATACTTAATCCTTGTTTAACGACATTAAAAATGCGACATAAATAACTTTAAGCTCTACCCTAATAAATTTGAAGAAGTGACATTAATGTATGTTTGATGTTTAGAGCTTTTTTTCTCTACTGAAAGAAAAGGAACGCACTTTTGGATGAACTAGGATAAAATAGATGCAATTGCATATAAGGATAATAACAGGTCGATATGGTCACCTCAGGTTTTTGTAATACATATGGACTTAATCAACTACTGAACTCTTGTTTATATTTTAGTCTTCATTTTTTAGTATTCCATTTTTAACTTCACAAAGGATATAAGTTTGTTTTCTCTAAAAAATCCGATT